TTTTTTTTTTTTAAACTTCTTTTTGGTATACTTTGATACTTCCTTTTGTTCAGTGTAATTCTATTTTATTCTTTTGAAACATTAGTCAAATTTGGTCATTTTAATAAGTTAGACTAAGATACTTACCCTGCTTCTTTTTTTTTCTTTTTTTGTATTTTCCAATTTTTGACTTATTACTTTTTTAAAAATCTTTTCAAAAACTTTTTTTTGCAGTTTTTGGCCAGGGCTGGATTTGAACCTGCACCTCTAGCATATGGGGCCAGTGCCCTACTCCTTTGACCCACAGGTGCTGCCCCTTAAAAACTTTTTTTTTCTTTTTTTTTGTAGAGACAGAGTCTCATCCTATCACCCTCTATAGAGTGCCATGGCATCACAGAGCTCACAGCAACCTCCAACTCCTGGGATCAGGTGATCCTCCTGCCTCAGCCTCCCGAGCAGCTGGGACCACAGGCATCTGCCACAACACCCAGCTATTTTTTGTTGCAGTTTGCCCAGAGCCAGGCCTGAACACACCACCCTCCAGTATATGGGGCCAGCCCACTGAGCCACATAAAAACTTTTTTAAAAGATCAAACTCATCACCTATTTCCTCTAATACTGTGCCATCTAGTTTGCCCCCTGAGCCTCAGTTTATGTGTAAAATGGGTATTAATAATACAATAGGGCTGTTCATTCATGGAGAAAATGCAAATACAGCATTTAGCCAGGTACCTGGTTAACAGTAAGTACTTAAGAACTGTTTGTGGCCCTTATTCTATCCTGCTTATTTCTAAAACTATAGCAACCTGGCTGAGTGTGGTGGCTCACGCCTATAATCCCAGCACTGTGGGAGGCCAAGTGGATTGCCTGAGCACAGGAGTTTGAGGCCAACCTAAGCAAGAGCAAGACTCCATCTCTACTAAAAGCAGAAAAACTGTAATGGCAGGCACCTGTAGTCCCAGCTACTTAGGAGACTGGCAAGAAGATCACTTGAACCTAAGAGTTTGAGGTTGCTATGAGTTATCATGCCATGGCATTCTACCCAGGGCGACAGAGTGAGACTGTCTTAAACAAAATAAATAAATAAAATTAAAAAGAAATAAAATAAAACTATAGCTACTTCAAAATACTCCTCAGGTGGTATATTATTATATTCTCTGTTTTGAACTGTTTATGAAGAAAAATACCATATCTTGTATTATACAACATTAGAGTGTTGCTATAAATTGCCTGTGTACTTTATTTTATTTTGATTATACAGAACGTTTCTTACTCTCATCTTCCCTTTTTTTTTTTTTTTTGTAGTACTTTGATGAACTCAGTGGAATACCTGCAGAAGATTTGCCTTATTATGGTGGTTCAGTAGAAATTGCTGACTATTGCCCATTCAGTCAGGAATTCAGTTGGCATTTAAGTGGTGAATATCAACGCAGCTCAGATTGTAGAATACTGGAAAATCAACCAGGTTAGTATTCTAGTGAAATGAAGTGTTATATACATATTAAAATTATATATTAACAGTATGAAATGGTGGTTAAGGGCACATACTCTAGAGCAGAGGTCCTCAAACTACGGCCCACGGGTCACATGCAGCCAGCCGAGGACATTTATCTAGCCCACTGGGTGTTTTTGCCACTGCTGCCTGTCCTGCTTAGCAGCCAACTTGTCCTGGGCCCACAATCCGGCCCTCCAATGGTCTGAGGGACAGTGAACTGGCTCCCTGTTTAAAAAGTTTGAGGACCCCTGCTCTAGAGCCAGACTGAGTTTATGTTACAGTTTCACTGCTACCCATCTGTAAGAAGTACTTGATTTTTCTGTTTCCTCATCTCTAAAATGGGGATAATAATGCTTACTTCATAAGCATTGCAAGAATCAAATGAATTAATATAGTAAACGCTTAGAAATATGCATGATATATACAGATTGTTAGCTATTAGATACACACATGCATGTGTGTGCACACATACTACATTTTAGTAATACACTTCAGTAGTACATCTGCACTACACATTTATAGAGCACTTTTTTGTGTGAGTGTGTGTGAGACAGAGTTTCATTTGTCTGCCTCAGCCTCCCAAGTAGCTGGGACTACAGGTGTCTACCACAATGCCTGGCTATTTTTTTGTTGCAGTTGTCATTGTTGTTTAGCTGGCCTGGGCCAGGTTCGAACCTGCCATCCTTGGTACATGTGGCTGGCACCTGCAACCACTATGTTAGGAGCACCGAGCCAAAATTCTCTGCTTTCAAAAAAATGAAGTTTGTTGTATAGCGGTTAGAGAGAGCAAGTTACTGCTGGGATTTAAAAGCTTTGTTCTTTTGTCCGTTATTTAGATAGAGGTCCTTAATTCCACCCTGTCCCTCTAAATCAGTGGTTCTCAACCTTCCTAGTGCTGCAACCCTTTAACACGGTTCCTCATGTTGTGGTCACCCCCAACCATAAAATTATTTTTGTTGCGACTTCATAACTGTAATTTTGCTGCTGTTATGAATCATAATGTAAATATCTGATATGCAGGATGGTCTTAGGCAACCCCTGCGAAGGAGTCGTGACCCATAGGTTGAGAACCGCTGCTCTAAATGTTTGTGCGTAATCTAAGACTAGATGGATTTCCTGGAGGTGGCACAAGTTGAAGATATAAGAAAGTTTTGCAAAAGTTGCAACATCCCCAAAAAGCCTCCATAAATGTAAATCATTTGGCCCCATCCTTTCAAGTTACTTGGAGGTAACTCCTGTTTAGACTACCAGTGAAGGTGATTCTTATCTTGGTATCTAGTGATTTTTATTTTATTTTTTTTTTGTCTGTGTATAGAGCCAAGGTCGCACCCTGGCTGGTCTCCTACTCTGGCCTCAAGAGGTTCTCCTGGCTCCCCATGCCTAATGATCTAGTGATTCTTAGTACCAGTTCTTCTGTATTTCCAACCCAGGTAACTTTGAACCTGGTCTTATTTCCTTGCTTCTGATATAGCAGTTTTCTCTTAATAATTCCTTTGTTGAGAACCCAGTTTAAGTTTGAAGTCCTGTTTATCTTAATTTTTTTTTTTCACAGTTTTTTGTC